GCAAGGAGGGGAACATCACACACTGAGGCCTGTCAGGGGTTTGTGGTCTATGGGAGGTACAGCATTAGGAGAAATACCTAATGTAGATGGCAGGTTGATGGATGCAGCAAACCACCATGGCACATGTATACCTAGGTCACATATCTGCACGTTTTGCACATGTTTTCCAGAACTTAAAGTATAATTTTAAAAAGGTGGAATAGCAAATAAAAATGAGGTAACTACTTCAGAAAAGTGTATAGATGGTATTAAGGAAATGTCTTAACAAGTATATGCTTAAATGAATCAGTTGACTTTGGAAGGATTATGAAGAGTTTAACGCATGAAGAAAGTCTTAGATTTATTTGTATTTTAGGCAGGTAAAAATGCATAAGATAATGGATAGGGACAGATACAGTGTGATGAGCTATCAGTAGGTTAAATTTTGTGTGTTTTTGGTGGTAACTGGTAGCATATTTTTTGGTTTTTTTTGTTGTTGTTTTTTATATAAAAGTCAAGGACCTCATCTGTTTTGTTTGTGTTTATAACCTCAAGTTCTTAACAAATACCCGCTGAATAAATCATGAAAATAGTTCTATATGAACATAAATAACTGAGTATAACAGGTATATTGGCACTGTTATAAAAATATCAGAATATGCTATGCAAAGAAATTTTAAGTTGGAGGCACAAAACATTTTTCAGCAGGAATGATTGAAACATTTTATTTCTTTTTTTTTTTTTTTGAGACAGAGTTTCGCTCTTGTTACCCAGGCTGGAGTGCAATGGCGCGATCTCGACTCACCGCAACCTCCGCCTCCTGGGTTCAGGCAATTTTCCTGCCTCAGCCTCCTGAGTAGCTGGGATTACAGGCACGCGCCACCATGCCCAGCTCATTTTTTGTAGTTTTAGTAGAGACGGGGTTTCGCCATGTTGACCAGGATGGCCTCGATCTGTTGACCTCGTGATCCACCCGCCTCGGCCTCCCAAAGTGCTGGGATTACAGGCGTGAGCCACCGTGCCCGGCCCGAAACATTTTATTTCTAAGAGGTGGCTTAACACAAGCCAACAAGACAGCAAACTATATATTTTATTGTGGCTTTACCAGTAACTGAGTAACTTACAGGTATTCATTTAACCTTCTTTGGCTTTAGTTTTCTCTTTGTAAAATAATGCTTTTAAAGCAGATAGTCACTTCAATTGTTCTAGTTCTACGTAATTAATAAACAGAGCTGAAAAATTTTATTCAAGACAGTCTATGGAGGAAACTAAAGGGCAGGCTCAAACTTTGAGCTTCACTTAATGGGTTTTTAGAGTATCATGGTGATATGGTTTGGCTGTGTCCCCACCCAAATCTCATCTTGAATTCCCATCTGTTTTGGGAGTGACCTGGAGGGAGGTGATTGAACCATGGGGGCAGGTCTTTTCCATGCTGTTCTCACGATAGTGAATAAGTTGAATGAGATCTGATGGTTTTAAAAAGAGTAGTTCTCCTGCATAAGTTCTCTTTCTTTTCCTGCTGCCATCCATGTAAGATGTGACTTGCTCCGGTTTTCTTTCTGCCATGATTGTGAGGCTTCCCCAGCCATGTGGAACTGGAAATCCAGTTAAACCTTTTCCTTTGTAAATTGCCAGTTTCAGACATGTCTATATCAGCAGTATGAAAGTGGACTAATACACATGGCTTCTTTTAAAAATTGTTTTAGTATACCTTCAAATCTATTTTATTTAGTATACCTTCAAATTAATTTGTGTTTATTGTTGAAAACATGAAAATTATAATAAGCAAATATTTAAAAATTAAAGGTCATCTAAAACCCTGATTCTAAGTTATAATTCTCCTAACATATTGATATTCATCTTTTGTGATTGATGGATAAATAGAAACATATAGCAAAATAGATATACGTTTTTCCACTGAAAACTTGGAATTTACATATAATATTATAATAATAACCCACTGTTTATTTCGCTTTGTACATAATAAACCCTTTTACATGTCAGTAAATTACTTTCTTCTGTATCACTTCTGATGCTAGCATAGCATTCCTTTTCACAGTAGAACCATTGTGGAACCAATTCCTATTGTTCAACACCTAGGTTGTTTTCCTGTATCTGTTGTTTACTAACATTACAGGATGACTGGAAAAATAGTCTTGTCTGAAATTGAAAATCTAGATAACATATTCATTAGCAGGGGATATGATGAGATAAAAGAGTTGAGGTTAAAGTGTAACAGCAAAACATTTACATCCAAAAGTCTTGAAGTCTCTTGGAAGTCTGAGTTTGGAGATTGCAATTGAGATTTGGGAGGAATTAACCTTGTGATGAAAGCTGAAAGTAGACATGCTTGAGTTCCCTGAGCAAGGGTATATAGGGGGAACAGGCTTTAAAAGTTCAGAAAGGAGGCATACTTTAGGGCAGGGATGTATGATGAAGTTAAACAGACTGAGTTGCTGTAGCGTGACAAAGACAAAGCCAATAATAGCCCTGTGTTGCACAGTATGAAAATATACAGCCTATGACAAGTGAAGATTTTAGATCATATTTATAAATACATATAGGTAAGTAGCATTTTTGTGAATAAAAGAAAATATGTATAAGAAGCTGTATTTCTCATTTGAAAGAAGTGTGTGGGTGTGTGGGTGTGTGTGTGTGTGTGTGTGTGTGTGTGTGTGTGTGTGTGTGTGTGTGGGTGTGTGTGTGTGTGGGTGTGGGGGTGTGTGTGTGTGTGTGTGTGTGTGTGTGTGTGTGTGTGTGTGTGTATTTTATAGTTTGTTTCGTTGTGTTTGTTTTTTGTTTTCTTTTGAAGCTTAATCTTGCAAAATTTGTCCAAATCATGTTCTAAGTGTTAAGGCAGGAACCTTGTTAAGAATTTCAGAGCAATGCCTTATTTATTTAAAACTACATTAGCTAAGCAAAGCAAGTTGAACTGCACATATATATCTGCCTCCTTGGGCTGTTGCCTGATGCCATATATAGCTACAATTATGAACAAACCAAAATTCTTCTGTGAGATTGAAAAAATTAGATATTTCAGCACACAGCCATAAAAAGAGAAGAATACTTGTAGGGTCATTTATTTCACCTTATAAAGTACAGGTATGTAGGACCACATGTAGTTCTGCTACTGGCATCAAAGGCAAGTTGGCTCACATTATTTCTAAGACAGGGAAGGTGCTTCTAAACTTTTACCAATATTATTCAGCCAGTAGTGTCAGGAAATTCCTCCTTGGTCTAACACTAAAACTTGCTCATTTCAGTTTAAATTATGATTACACAGAGCTAAGAAAATACCATCAGCAAGGTTTCATAAATTAAGTACAAAAAGACTGGTTAGTGGGACTAGGGAGAAAAATTCTAAAATTATTTCCTTTTGTGTTTGAATCTCAGTATGTTTTAAATAAACTTGTTTGTTCATTTAATTGATAATTCTTTCCATACTGCCTTTCAAATTTAAAAAGGGTGATATTGTATGTGTTCGATTTACTGCTAACTGACTTTTTGCCAGTTTTTGTCATTATAAACACCCATGTGTGGACACACACACACACACACACACACACACACACGCCCCCTCAAATTATATATTTTTTACATATTTCCTATATTTTACAGTATAGCTTCTGTCTTTGCTAATAATCCTTTTAATAGTATTGTAATCCTATGTGAGGACAGAAGAAATCATGTTCATAATCAGACTAACCAATATTCAGAAATGTGTCTTGAAGTCCAGAACACCCCTGGGAGAACGTGCCTGCCTGCCATAACTGAAGCCTGGATGCCATCAGGCATCTCTTTGCATGTACCAGAGACGTTAGTGTTTCAATTGACAAGTTTGATGCCTTTTTACATATTAAGTAAACTTTGCTTTGCATTATAAATGGTGGAGGGCTAGAAATAATTTCTATGCAAGTCATGGCAATCTTTATCTACACAAGACACACTCCTATAAAATTAAAGTTCTGCTCAAATAACTTTTCTTTTGAGTGGTGATTCACAAGAGAAAGGATTTCTACTTTTGAATTAACTAGCCCTGTCCATTCAGTAACTGCTTTGGCTGAGAAAATTCATCCTTTTTGTATTTTCCAGTGTTATTTGTCTTTAGGAGATAAACAGAGAGAGAGAAGGGGAGGGAGGAATGGAGAGAGAGACTTTACAAACAAAAGGCCTGATGCAATCTTTAATAACCTCCCAGCCAGAAAAGGAGACAACATTTAGCAAGCACCTATGTAGATGTTTCAGTGTGCCATTTGCTAAGAATAAGTGCTTTTATTAAATCATTCCAATAATACTGCAAAGAAGCATTATTACAGTGATAATTTAAAAAAGAAAAATTTACAGTTTTCAGTGCCAGTTGAAGATTTTGAGATAAACTATTTGGGACCTATTTGGTTTCAGAAAAAAACAAACCCCTGTAATGCACATGAGTGCATTACCCACGTTCCAAATTAAATGTCTCCCTGCAGCTTATGATTTCCTGAATTTTCCAATATTCCTGTGAGGTAGAAATTAGGCAAGCAGCATTCTTGCTACTATACTGAAAACCATAGAGAAGAAAAGACAGGGACATATAAGTTGACTTTCCTAAAATCCCCTAAACAGTAGTGAGATTACTGGAAATTGAATTTAGGCCTCCTGACTTGCCATTGCCCGTATCTCTGAGCACTAAAGGTATTTTCATAAATTAAGTACAAAGAGGCTGGGTTAATGGGACTAGGGAGAAAAATTCCAAAGTTATTCCCTTATGTATTTGAATCTCAGTATGTTTTAAATGCAGTTGTTTGTTGATTTAATTGATTTTGTTTCTGCTAATACTCTCCATACCACCTTTGAAATTAAAAAAGGATATTATATCCATTCGGTTCACTGCTAACTGACTTTTTGCCAGTTTTTTTTTCATTGTAAACAGACTGTTGTAATCTATGTTAATTCATATGCTGTGTTGAAGTGATTTTTATAAAATATTATCTGGACAATGTGGTGTGATATGAGAGCAATTATTGGTTTATATTTTGCAGTCACAATATGGAGCTTCAGTTTCTGCCAAGCCTGAACTGCCCCTCTTTTACACTCCTATTGATCTGGTGGACATTAGTGTAGAAATGGCCGGATTGAAGTTTATAAATCCTTTTGGTCTTGCTAGTGCAACTCCGGCTACCAGCACATCAATGATTCGAAGAGCTTTTGAAGCTGGATGGGGTTTTGCCCTAACCAAAACTTTCTCTCTTGATAAGGTAAGAAAATATTATTGAAGTCATTTAAAAATGTCTATCATGTATTTTAATTAAGGTATAAATATTATAATGGCTTTTTTTCTACTGAGAAATACTACTTATTAAAATATTTGACAAGACCTATCATTACATATTAGTCCTTAGTTTCTTTCCTTTCTGTGTCATGGAGGGAGAGGGAGACATACATTTCTCATTTGGTATTATCTAGGCAACATCAAACATAAATATTACAAAATGACTTTTTCATTTAATAATCACAAACTCATGAAAAATTCTTATTTTTGTATTATTAATTGTTTCATTGTTTTTGGATGCCTCAGCTCAAAGATAGGGACACAATTGGTTTGGTTTGCACAAAATTCTGGGATTCAATTTATGTCGAAAAGAATCTCAATGTAATTTATGGTTACTGGTAATAAGATAGATTCTTCATAAATTTTGAATACAGAAACCTTTCTCAAAAACAAATACCCTGAATTTCATTTAACATTATGACTTTGTAATCACACCAGAAGTGGATACCTTATACTTAGTAGGAAATAAATTACATATTAAAGTTGAGATGGAGTCTTTAAAGTACACAAAGCATATAAATGCATGTTTTCAAAGCAGGATGCTTTATACAACAGAGGGTTGCATCCTTATATGGTTTTGAATTAGAAAAAAGCAACAGACTTTAACATTTTTAGATCATTTATTGATAAATTACAAATGCTAAACCTCTCAATGTATTTAATACTAACTGGTAGTTAGTAATAATTAATGTATGTGAATGTGTGAATTTAGTGACTAAGAAAAGAGTACCATTATTTGAATCAGCTTTATCCTTAGGCAAAGAAAATAATAGAGAACAAACATGCCCCATTAAACACATTCTCTCTTTCTTTTTCCTCTTACTGGGATCAATAGCTGGCATTATTCTGGCTAAAACATTAAGGCTGTCTTATTCTGACAGCTTTACAAGATGCTATGTGTAAGTGTGGTCAGGAAAATCTAGAGAATTCTCAAAAGTTAGAAGAAAAACAGTGAGATATCTAAATATAAAAAATCTTTATATTTTATAAATATATTTAGATACCTAAAGAGAAGTTATTTTTTTCAAATCAATCGACTGAATATTTAGAAATACTTTTATTAAACAAAGTGTAAAAATTAACAGAATGTACTAGATTCAGCTTTAGAATATCATGAATCAATTGTTTATAACCTTCTAGAATATTGATGGTATATTTGTCTTTGTTTCAATTGATTCTTTAAGAATTACTGAGAAGCTATAATCAAATGTTTAATCTGTTGGAGAAAACTGAGTCTCAGATAACATTTACTGACTATATTGTTATGCTATTAAATATATATATATATATATATATATATATGTAAACAGAAATAGGTGGCTAATTGGGCACAAGTGAAGAATTATAGCTAAAAAAGCTGTTTGCTGCTTTGAATTTGATGTTTTCTTTGCTTGCAATAATTGAATTCTGATTAATCAGAGACATCAGTCTTTACACTGTTGGTGACATGCATTGATTTGTGATGCTGTGTATTTCAGCAACCTAGGAGCACTTGCCTTTATTAGGATCACCAGCAGAAATAAATGTGGAAGCTAACTTCTTTCTAAACCTCCAATTTGAATTTAATCTATCAATTTAGAAGTCTGTGATGCTGGTTCAAAAGGGGAGTTATGAACAAATGGAAATTAAATTTGGCACATGAAACATAACCATGTGGAGCTTTTTGGAAACCCTATTTTACTTTGATGATGGGTACAACAAAATATTGTGCAGACTATTTTAAACATATTTGTGCAAATTGCAATGACAAAAATAATGAAGCCACCTTGGGCTTATGTAATGCCATTTTTACAAAAGATTATTTTCCATACATGATTTTGCAGAATAGTTCGTTTGCCTCATAGAGTTTTACTTGTTTTGTTTCCTTATCTGATTCCTAATTAGTGATTAAATTTGTGAATATATAATTAATTACATCTTATGTGCTTCTTTCTATGCTTTCTTATTGATGAAATGTTGGTAGTATACAACTCAGTAGTATGAACTTTTTTCTCCACAGCCTTTTTCTAAAGATGTCTACTAAAATATTACATGTACTATACATTTGTGTAACATTATAGTATACCAATTTAGATTAGCCTTATTATAATTTATTATGCCAATTGAAGAATCTATTTAAAATGTTTTAAAATTCAAAATCTTGACATTTGAAATTTGAATGCTCTTAATATGACAAAGGTTATTCTATGGGGTTTTGTTATCATATGAAATATTAATATTTCACAATACAGTTTTGATGAAGTACAATTTGCCAAGCTTGCATATGATAAAGAAATTAAATGCTTATCAAGGGAGTTCAGTAAAAATTAAAGCCCTGACTGAACATCTGCTAGAAATTTTATTATCCTGTCCCACTGACAGTGTGGCTCTCTCGTTGTTTTTCTGGATTGACAGCTGAATATTGCACTGATTTCTGAAGGAAATATGTTTAGGTGAACTTTGTTTCCCTTTTTTTATTTTTTATTTTTTGGGAGTTCGGAACACGCTTTTGATTTTCATCCTATATATATTGTTTTATACTCTTGACATTTGTAGATGCCAGATTGAGGTCTAATACGCTGTAGCACCAATAGACCATTGACTTACAGTGAAATGCCAGTTGATATCTCAGTAAACAGAAATATTATTATTCTTTACTGTGCAGTCTATATAAAAGCTGTATGTGCTTTCTTTAAAAAGGCAAATGATCAGATTTTTAATGTCAAATATAAAAAGATCTGTTTGCTTGTGTGTTAAATAACATCAAAAATGGCTTTTATTAACTATATTCTTCCTCCTCAAATCAGTCTTTTCAAGAATGTTTCAAAATAATAGAATTTATTTTCTTGAGATTCTATTTATGTTTTATAAAGATAGTAAAGTCATATTTATAATACAGTTATAAAATTATTTTTCTATATCAATGTATATTGGCTCCAAATTTAAATTTTAAAAGGTGGGAGAGAAATTGATCAGTCAAGCTTGACTAAAGCTAAATTATCAGGACAAAACAGAGAAGTGCTACGTTTAACAGGGAATATTAGAAATGGTTTGGACTTCACATAAAATAACCCCTTGACCTGTGTTCACATTATATTGATAGTAAGTAGATAAAAACATTTTGTTTTCATTAATCTTGTCCATAAATTTTTTTCTCTTGGAGAGCTACACATTATATACTGCAAATCTATAACATAAAACTGCAAGTAGCATATCTTTATTACTGTACAGATAAATAAACTAAGAAGTATTTATTTCTATCCTAAATCAAATTTAAACCCAAGCAACAGTTCACTTCATTTATATGCTCTCTCTATATATAGATTAACTTGTGATTGACTTTTAGTATCAAAATATCTCAAATGAACAGATTTTGTTTTAATAAGTATCAAATTAGGTAAATAAGTATACATATAATAGATCTCTCTTATAAAATGCTAAGAAGTAAAAACTGAAAATATTTAAGGCTCTTTTTTTGTCATCAAACTATTTATTGTAGCTGTTTCTGCAAAATACAACCTTATACCAAATAGCACAAAGCTTAGTGTATAGGAGAGGTCTGATAAATGTTTCATAAATATTCTTTGGACAAATAAATAAATAGATTTTTTGGCAAGAGTATATTGAGTTTCTTTTCTTTTTTTTTTTTTTTTTTTGTGCCAGCATATGAAGAGACAGTTAACACATAAAACAATTGATGTTTTGAGTATTGATCTCAATCAAAGGAGAAAAGGCCAATTAAAAATTTTTCATATCCTATGTTGCTTTCTATAGTGCATCTATGTGTGTCTAAAAATGAAAATGTCTGTGAAATTTCTAAATGCATAGATTGTGTTTTAAGACTTAGGCTGTTGAAGAAGCTTTTAAAATGCAGAGAATTTTTGAGAAAACAGAATAAGTACCACACAATATTATAATGATACATAAAGTAGTCGTGAGAGAAGAAATGTAACCTGTTCTTGAATGCTTCTAGTGACAAGGAATATATTCCATCTTTAAGGCAATACAACCTGTTATGACTGTAGGAAGATCTATTTTAGAAATATGTTCCTTTTATTGACCCCACATCAGCCTTCTCATATGTTCCATCTATGTTTTATATATAGTTCTGCCCTCTGATACATCATGGAATAAATAAGAGTAACATTAATATAAATGAATTTTTTATTTAAAATAACATGTTGTTGTTTCCCCAAGTAGGTAAATACCTTAGAGAAAGTCTACCAAATATGGAGAAGCAGTATAGTGTGGGGAAAAGTACTTTGGCCTAGTAGGCTCTGGTTCTTAATCCAAAGCTGCTTCTAAATCACTGTCTTGGACATGTGTAATATTGTAGATTGTTGTTATGGTTATGGTTGTTATTATTATTTACATTGTTAGCTACTATATATTTAGTGCTTATAATGTATAGACTAAATGTTTTTATAAATTATTGTATTTAATCCTCAAAATATGCTTATAAGATAGATAATATTTTTTTTCAGATGAAATAATAGTCTGAGAAAGTTAAATAAATTTTCTAGGACTTAAGACAACAATTACCTATTTGTATGAAGAACTGCTCATATGTGCTCATATGTGCTCACATATGAGCAGTTCTTTTACTTCACAAGATGTCTGCTGGCCTCAATCATGCATTTACAGTTTGTTGTTAGGATCCCAGGAGATCAAGGTGTCCTCACTAATGTGTCTGGAGCCTTATGTGGGATTGCTATAATTGCGGAGATGGCTCAGCCCTTCTCTCTCTCTTCATCATCTCTCTTACCTCGCCATGTCTTATCAAGGTGGCTGATTTAGATTTGATAAAGCTACTTTACAAGGCTGGCATTGTTCCAAGAGGACAAGAGTGGAAGCTGAAAGATCTCTTGACACAGACTCCAAAGTATACCCAGTGTTATTTCCACCATATTTTCTTCAAAGCATATTACAAAGTCAATGTATGTTCAT